GCTGGTGGCACAGTGGTTAAGGCAATGGGCTGCTAACCAAAAGGCCAACAGTTCAGCCCCACCAGGCGCTCTGCACGAGCAGGATGTGGCAGTCTGCTTCTATAAGATTGGGAGCCTTGGGAACCCTGTGGGACAGTTCTTAGGGTTCTCTAGGGCCACTACGACTCAAAATCGACTTGATGAGAGTGTTGTTGTTTTTTTCTTTCTCCTTTAAATCTTTGTCCAGAGGACTGCCTGCAGTGGGGCCCTGAAGGGATGGAGAGATCATTCAGGGTGGGGAGGTGCAGAGTGCTCGGGCCATCCCAGCTCACAGGCGATTCCTTCTACCCAAGGACTGAGTGGGCTTTGTTGCTCATAACAATAGGCGTTGACATTACTGTGAGCTCAGGACTCGCCAGACATGATGCATCAAGCTTTCCCCAGACATCTGCAGGTCTGGGGATATGCCCCTCCCAGTGAGGTGGCAGAAATGCCACACGGGGCCAGCAGCCCTGCTGCAGCTCGGTTACCTCGATCTGGGGCAGGAAGGTATGGATGGAGGGCAGGTCCGGCAGGCTGCTGGTGACATCCAGGAGCTTCTGGGCCAGGGCCTTCCACAGCTGCAGGTCCTGCAGGGGCCTCTGGAATCGCTGCCACAGCTCCACGCCCGTGGTGTTGCACAGCCTGGTGTTCCTCCCCTTCATGCTGCGGGGTGGGGGTGGGGTGAGGGAGTGGAGTGGGGTGTGGGGTGAGTGAGTGTTGGGAGAAGCAGGTGGGGTGGGGGCAGGGTAAGCAAGTGGAGGGGCACCCCCCCAGAATCCCAGGGATCCAGCTCATGCTGCTCCTAGGGGGAGCTCTCTCCTACCCCACAGGTTGCAGGGACTGTCAACAGCAATAAACACAAGACGTGTGTGGAATGTGCTACATAGGGTTGAGAGTAATGTGGAAAGGCGTTGGCCACTGGCCTCGGACCTTCCCAAGGACAAACTCTGGGGCTCCCTGGGACTCAGAAATTAGATCCATGAGGTCCTGGGATTCCGAAGTAGTTATAAACAGCTGGGAATTCCAAGTCAAACAGACCAGCTGCGTGACCTTAAGTAGCCTCAAGCCTCCAGTGTCTTAAGCCTTTGAGCCTGTTTCCTCACCTGTAACACAGGGAACACTGTGCCCATCCCATGGGGCCACCGTGTGTATTACACGAGATAACACATGGCATCATCTTCTTCCAGTAATGGAAGACTAGTTAATTCAGACTGACCCTCTCACTGACGACAATGAACAAAACTTCTCACATTAAAAAGATGAAATAAAAACCAGAAACATGAGTCTACTACCCAAAGCTACTTTCTCCTTGAGGGCATTCGCCAGCCTGGAAGAAACAGCCAAAGCACTGAGCTGTGCTTCTGGCAGCCTCTCGAGGGAGGGGGCAGAAGTCAAAGTCCAGAGTCCATCCAAGGTTCTGATCCTGATCATCGCACCCCACTGTCAGCTGGGGCCTCACAGGTCTGTGCCCTCCGACTGGAAGTAAGCCAATCTTCAGACAGACTCGCAGCCCAGCTTCATGAGCAGGGAACCTCAAGATGAGGCCCTGGACTGGGACTGCTCTCAGGCAGCTTCCAGAAGGAAACAAAACCCTTTCCTGATGAAGATACCCTCCGCTCAGGCCCCAAACACTGCTACAAGTGATTCTTCAAACACAGTGTCCAGCGCACAGGCATGGATAACCAGGCACACAAGCAAACAAGACACCATGAGTGAGAGCCTGTGCCAGAAACAGCGAACTGGAAAAAGGCACACGAAGGCTTGGGAAATCGGAATGACCACATCCAGACTTTAAAGAGCCCCGTGCAAAGAAACACAGCTCAAGCTTGAAAGGCTCTGCAGGAAACGGCAAACCATAAAAAGGAGCAACGTAGATTTTGAAGAAAACGACCAAACAGAACATTTGGAACTGACAATGTGTGCAGAGTATTCAGTGTTGGGGACGACTCCGTATCTCTGCCGAGGGGACCCTGTGAATCTCCTTCCCTGGACGCCCACAGGAAGCTCTGCAGGACGTCTGGCCGAATTCAGCTCAGCATTTACGGAGAACTTTCACTGTGCCCAAGGAGCTCTGGAGGCATAGCGGTTAAGATATTTGGCTGCTGACCCAAAGGTCAATGGTTTGAACCCACCATGGAAGAAAGATGAGGCAGTCTACTTCCACAAAGATGCACAGCCTTGGAAACTCACTGGGGGGTCACTATGAATCAGAATCGGTGGCAATGAGTTGTTTTTGTCCCTGTGCCAGGCATGAGAGCACACGGATGAAAAATAACTGCCCTTGCACACGCTCAGGCCCCTGAGGAACCTGAACTTTAACTCACAATTATGACACCACACGGTGTAAGTGTTAAAGTGGGCTTATAAAAGCATTATGGGAGTGTTGAGGAGGCAGTGAGGGGCAGAGGCAGCCAGGAAGACTTCTCCTAAGAGGTGACCTTGGCCAAGAGTTAATGAGGAAAGAGGTATTGTGGGCTGAGAGCAAGGTCTGATGCAAAACACAGACGTGTGAGTAAATGGTGTGTTCTGAGATGTCCATGCAGTGTGGCTGGGCTGTGTGGAGATGGGCAGGAGGTAGGGGTGGGAAGGGGTGTCGGGGGTAGGTGGTGCACTGAGCTAAGGAAGCCAGACTTCATCCATAAGAGACCCCAGGGGTGACATCAGTAACTCTTGGGTCAGAGAGAAGGTGCTGGCAGCAGTTTGAGTGGTGGAGGTGGGGAGGCAGACAGCAGGTGGGCCAGTTAGAAGGGGAGGCTGTGAGTTTGGGCCTCATGTGAGGAGGATGGAGAGGAGGACCCAACCTCTGGGTGAGGGTGGAGGAGGCCCAGTGGAAATGACCGGCAGGAAAGCCACTCACAGCTCTGCAAGTGGCCTCCAGAAATCCAATGCACAAGAAATCTGGCCTTGTTCCAACCTCAGGACAAAGGCAGACAGGGTAGGAATCCTATTAAATTGCTGCCCACTGGTCTACTAAACAGACTGACTCCAGACAAAAACCAAGCTAAACTTGAAGCCCACCTGCCTCAGTGGTCCCGGCAGTGCCTGTCCCAGCCACGAAGGCCACCTCCCACTTTCACCCAAAGGGACCAGCACCTGATACCTTAGCAAGAGAAGCTGCTTTGTGCACAGGAAACCAAGCCTTCCCCCTCCTCCCTGGGGATCCAGGCCACTGCTGTGATGTGGGGTCTGAGCCCCCTGGGGTGAGAGACACAGAGGGGACAGAATCCCTGTGGCAGCAGAGGAGTGAAGTGCGTCCCAGCTGCGGGGACAGTTGTCTCTATCTGGACCACCTCCAGACCCAGCAGCTAAAATGGGGACAGACTCCAAATGTGCATGTCACTCAGTTCCACACAGGGTGGGTATCTGATCTGCTGGTGCTGACTCAGCCAGAAGGGAGAGGCCCTCAGGGGTCTGAGCCCGTCGGCTGCGGAGGAAGGTGGCTCGGATGTTTGAGTCTTGGTGCCTTCACAAGGCAGAAGAATGCTGTTGTCTAGCAAAGGCCCTCCCTTTGGATGCTTCATCCCTGGATGGTGCAAACAGTTTACACACTTGGCGGCTAACTAAAAGGTTGGAGGGTCAAATCTATCCAGAGGCACTTCAGAAGAAAGGCTGTGATCTACATTGGAGAAATCAGCCATTGAAAACCTAATGGAGAACAGCGACATTCTGACATGTACGGGGTTGCCATGAGTCAGAGCTGACAGGACAGGCTGTTGTACGAGCCCCTCCCCAGTGCTAAGCCGTACAAAGAGTTCGATGGAAGTAGATGAGTGAGCCACTCAGCAAGGCAGAAAGCAAAGCTCAATCCTCTTGCTGGGACCAAAATGAGGTCTGAGAATGATTGGTAGGTTTCCAAGTTGCAGGAGGATGCAAGCCCATCTTTGGAGATGGGGTAGATGGGGCTGGGAGGCCCGCAGCCAGGCCCATAGTCCCACCTGCCCCCAGCCATCCCGGGTACCTCTGGTACTCCTGCAGGGCTGTGACCACGCTGTCAGAGAGTGGCTGCAAGTCATGGGAGAAGACTAGGAGCTCCTTCAGCTGGGCCTGCAGCCGGTCCACCTGGGGCTCCTCTGCGGCCAGTGCCACTCGTGTCGCCTGCAGAACACAATGCACCAGGGTGAGGGAGGCCACGTGGAGAGCTTCCCAGATGGGAAGGATTCATATATGTAACAAAACAAGGGACTCTGGTGGTGTAGTGGTAAGGCATTTAACTGCTAAATAAAAGGTCGGTAGTTTGAAACAACCAGCCACTCCATGGAAGAAAGATGAAGTAGTCTGCTTCCATAAAGATTTACTGCCTTGGAAACCCAGTGGGGGTCATTATGAGTCAGAATCAACTTGAGGGCAGTGAGTTTGAGTGATATAACAAAACAGTCATTTTAACATGTTTTACAGGTACTAAGAAAGGTGACAAAGAAAGGTGACCAACAGAAAACCAAGAGAAGAAAGGTAATCTCACAGAATGTGGAAAATATTGAACAATATTATTGATATCACACACAAGTAAAATTTTGCTGAAGATAATTCAAAAATGATTGATGCAGTATATTGACAGTGAAATACCAGAATTTCAAGCTGGATTCAGAAGAGGGCATAGAATGAGAGATATCATTGCTGATGGCAGATGGATCTTGGCTGAAAGCAAAGAATACCAGAAGGAAGTTTACCTGTGTTTTATTGCAAAGGCATTTGACTATGTGGATCATAACAAATTATGGATAACATCGTGAAGGATGTACGTAGACCAAGAGGTAGCCGTTAGAACAGAACAAGGGGATACTGTATGGTTTAAAATCAGGAAAGGTTTGTGTCAAGGTTGTATCCTTTTGCCATGTTTATTCAGTCTGTATGCTGAGAAAATAATCTGAGAAGCTGGACTATATAAAGACTAATGCTGCATCAGGATTGGAGGAAGACTCGTTAACAACCTGCGATATGCAGATGACACAACCCTGCTTGCTGAAAGTGAAGAAGATTTGAAGCACTTACTAATGAAGATTAAAGACTACAGCCTCCAATATGGATTACACCTCAACATAAAGAAAACAAAAATCCTCACAACTGGACCAATACACAACATCACAATAAATGGAGAAAAGATTGAAGCTGTCAAAGATTTCATTTTACTTGGATCCACAATCAACTCCCATGGAAGCAGCAGGCAAGAAATCAAATGACACATTGCATAGGGCAAATCTGCTGCAATAAACCTCTTTAAAAAAAAAAAAAAAAAAAAAAAAAGCTCTGGTAGCATAGTGGCTAAAGCACTTGACTGCTAACCAGAAGGCTGGTGGTTCAAACCCACCAGCCACTCCTCGGAAGGAAGGTTGCGCAATCCTACTTCCGTAGTGATACTGCCTCGGAAACCCAAGGAGGGGTCGCTATGAGTCGGGGGCGACTCGACAGCACATAACAACAACAACAAAGTGTTTAAGAGCGAAGATGTCATTTTGAATACTAAAGTATGCCTGACCTAAGCCATGGTATTTTCACTACCCTCATATACATGCAAGAGCTGGACAATGAATAAGGAAGACCACAGAAGAGTTGATGCATTTGAATTGTGGTGTTGGCAAAGAATACTGAATGTACCATGGATTGATAGAAGAATGAACAGAGCTGTCTTGGAGGTAGTACAGCCAGAATACTCCTTAAAAGTGAGAATGGTCAGACTCTGTCTTCCACACTTGGGTCATGTTCTCAGAAGGGACCATTCCCTGGAGAATGCTAGGTAAAGTAGAGGGTCAGCAAACAAGAGGAAGACCCTTAACAAGATGAACTGACACAGTGGCTTGCAAAGAAGGGCTTAAGCATGACAATGATTCCAAGGATGGTATGGGACCTGACAGTGTTTTGTTCTGTTGTACAGTGGGTCACTGAGTTGGAAGTGACTCAGTGGCACATATCAACAACCTAGTGACATTAATTATATTCATTATGTTGTGCAACTATCACGACCATCCTTTTCCAAATTTTTCCAGCATTCTTAACAAAAGCTCAGTGACCCCCAAGCAATAATGCCCTTTTCTCCTTTTCCCTCCTGCCCTCAGCAACCACCAACCTACTTTGGTCTTTAGGCATTTATGAAGTGGGATGGATCACTTTTATATTTCCTTTCCTGTCATGGTCTTTTAACTCTCACCAAATGATTGGTGGGACTATGTATATAAGGTGCTTGTGGCTCTCCAAACTGATTACACAGGTTGCTAATAAAGCAAATAAGGTGCATGACACTTTTGTGGAGAGGAACCATGCAAATAAGGAGTATGGAATCCTGTCAAAGGGACAGGTTAGTTATGCCATCCTGATAGGTTTGAAATAGAGCCAATTTCAGAGCCAAAGGGACCTCAGTACAACTAAGAGAAAAGAGCCAGGAGTGGAGTGTGTCCTTTAGATTCTGGGTCCCTATACGAAGAGCCTTCTAGACCCAGAAGATGTAGGGAAATAGAGCTGTAAAACCACAGATGGCAAGAAGCAGTGGCAGAGAAACAACAGCAGTAGAAGCAGTGGACCAGGAGACCAGCAAAAGATGGAGCAGTAGGTTTGCTGCCCCATGGAGCAAGAGAGCTGAGCACCTTCAAGTGGGAAGCTTGCTGGTGGAGTGGGGTGCCTCTGAGCACTTGGCAGAGCTAAAGAGCCTTGTAACACCTGCCCAAGCAGGACAGAAGCTGAGCTGAGGGCCAGAGAGAGGCCTGCCTGCAGGCATGGCTGAGAAAAGGCTGTCCTGACTGAAGAACTGTATTGGCATTTCTGATCCTGAGCTGTATTTCCCTATTAAACCTGATAATTGTGAGTACTTTCTATGAGTTCTGTGTGGCCATTGCAATGAATTGTTGAATCCAGCAGAGCAGTAGAGAATGCCATGGGAGAGACAGTTGGTGTCAGAACTGGTTAAAAGGCTGGAGGGTGGAGGTATGTCTGACCTCTGCCTCAGGAATCAGCCTTGGGCGGTAATGATGATAATTCTCCTTTCTCCTTGTGAAGTTAAAGCAGGTCATAGGATGATGCCATCATCTCATTTTTATAGTTGGTGTCAGGAGTGGGATTTGCTGCAGTTGGTTCCAGACACTCGTTGCAATGGCTCCAGACTCACAGAAGCATGGAACATTGTAAAGGATAGATTGAAAGGTTGTGGGAAGTGAAACTTTTGGTTCTTAGATGGTTACTTTTGTGGTTACCTGTAATGGCTGAAAGGAAAATAAGAGATGTTATACTGCAGCTGAGAGGAGAAAAGCCTCACCTGGAGTGGCCTGGACAAAGCCAGGGTCTACTGGTTCCACCCAACCAGAGGCCATGTCCATATGCATATGAATGGGAAGATAGTCAAGATGTGGAGAAGAGAAGATGAAACTGGAATGTTTTAAAAAGGGTAATGTGTTTATTTGAATGTAGCGTGGATATTGGATATTTCTACCCGGTATTGTTAAACAGATCTACATGTATGTGGGAAATGAATATTGGGTATTATAGATAACAAAGAGTGTGGAACTCTGCCTTCAGCCAATACTTGATTGGATTTTGTATCAAGCCAGTAGCCCTGTGTATAGAGTACCGGGGAATTAGATCAAGAACTAGAGATTTGAAAAGACATGCAGACCTACCCAGAACTACTGAGAGAACAAGAGATTTACATGTGAAGTAAGGACCTACAGAGAAAAAATAATGACTGCTTTGTGCTTTGAATTTCAAGCAAGTGGCTTGCCTTTGGGTGCACTGAGGCAAGAAAAGTCAGTGCCCATCAGAAGAACCCGCCTCTAGGAGTGGAAGTTAAAGGGAGCTGGTGAGTAGACAGTCTGATATGCTCACTTGTGGTGACCACCTGGGTCCACTTGATGAGTGGAAGCGGGGGTGGTGCAGCAATGAAGAAATGGCTGAGTTTGGACATGTTCCACTGGCACCCATTGACCTAGCCCATGGATGCTATGAATGAGAAAAAGAGAGTAAGGCCTAGCTGGTCTGAAATACAGAGAGTTGTGTGGACTCCTGAGCCTTAAGGTGGTGCCCATTGACCTAACTCATGGGGGCTACAGATGAGAGAGAGAGAGAAAGAAGGGGCCAGGAGGTGTGTGAACTCCTTAGCCTACAGCTGGTATCCACAGAGGCTAGGGATGAGCTGACTAGAACCCAACCGAATGAAGAGAAAGGTGTCTGACACTGCAAGCTGGTGTCGTTTGCTGCAGTGTGACTAGACTTGCTCTGTGGACTAGACTTTGCTTTGGACACAGGCATTCAAAGTTACAGCTGGAACAAACAATTCTTCAGACTAAGGCTTGTCTCCTCAATGTACTGGTATGATACCAAAAAACAAAACAAAACAAACAACCAAACTCACTGTCATAGAGTCGATTTTGACTCATAGCAACCCCTCCTTGGGTTTCCGAGACAGTATCTTTACAGAAGTATATTGCCCAGTCTCCCTTCTGAAGAGTGGCTGGTGGGTTTAAACTGCCAGTGTTTAGGGTAGCAGTCAAATAAATGCCTTAGGCACTACGCCACCAGAGTCCCTTTCACTGGTGCTATAAGGACGGGCAATTTAAACAAGCAATTTAAACAGGTGAGATAAAGGTAGGAAGTGGCTGGCTTACAAGCTTTGGTGGGTGTGTTTAGTCTCAAAATGAGAGGGACAAGGGAGGATACCCACTGAATAGTTTCCTCTTTTCCTGATGGGTCTGGGAAGGGAGGGAAGATGCTGATGGGATTATATGATTCAGCTGTGAGTAATAGCCTTCGTAGGGTTCATTGTGTTTGTACAACTGTAATTGCAGAAGCTGTAACCGTAAAAGAGTGGACTAGGGAGGGGTGGGACCCTGATGGATTGGAGGGCAGTGGCCAAACCTGAAATCCCTTAAAGGTTTGGCTGTGCTGATCCCTCGTGAATCACAGAGCAAGGCAATAATCTCTCAGTTAAGTCTGATCAGACACTAGAGAGGGTGAAGCCAAGACAACTTTTGGAAAACCTGACCAGAACACATGGACACCTGCAGCAGACCTGCATGGCTGGTACCTGAGTAACCGCACCCTGAGGACTCTTTGCCTGACTGAAGGACTAATTGTTCGTGACTGTTTTGGACTGGTAAAGTGATTGGGAGGGGAGGCTACTTTCCAAGTACGACAGAACCACGGCTAGAAAGACCAGGGGCTGGCCTGCACTGCAGTAGATTGCTTTATATGGCTCTTTTTTTTTTTTTTTTTAATTGCCATGGCCTTGTAACTCTACCAAATGATTGCATGGGACTATGCCAATAAGGTGCCTGAGGCGGACCAAGGGAAGTGGACAGCTTGCTATTAGTGCATATAAGGTGCATGACACCCTTGCAGGGATGGGGCCATGCAAACAATGAGGATGGAACCCGAACGAGGGGATTGGTCAGTTTTTGCCATCATGATTGGCTTAAAAGACAGTCCCAGAACAGAGGGGGGACCTCGCTATAATCAAGAAACAAGAGCCAGGAGTGGAGTGTGTCCTTTGTGCCCCAGGTCCCTGTGCTAACAGCCTCCTAGACCCAGAACAGAGAGAGAGAGAACGAGAGAGAGAGAGAGGTTGCTGCAACACTGGACATGGTAAGAAGCAGCAGCAGAGAACTGATGGCAGCAGGGCCAGAAGGACTAGGAGACCAGCAGGGGACCAGGAGACGGTGCAGTGGGCTTGCTGACCCACGGAGCAAGAGAGCTGAATGGAGCAGGAAGCTTGCTGGCAGAGTGGGGTGCCTCTGAGCACTTGGCTGAGCTAAAGAGCTTTGCAACACTTGCCCAAGCAGGACAAAGGCCAGGTTGCGGGGCCAAGGGCCACAGAGAGGCCTGTTATGGACATGGTGAGAAGAGGCTGTCCTGATTGAAGAACTGTATCCAGAGCCTTTTCTGATCCTGGATTGTGACTTCTTAGTTCCCGCATAAACCCCATACTCATTAGGGTTGTCTGTGAGTTCTGTGTGGCCGTTGCCATGAATTATCGAATGCAGCAGAAGAGTAGAGGGTGCTATGGGAGGGACGGCTGGTGTTAGGATTGGTAAAAAATGTCAGAGGGTGGAGGTATGCCTGATCTCTGCCTCGTAGGAATCAGCCTTGGGCAGTTGATGCTAATAATGATTCTTCCCCTCCCTTGTGAAGTCAGAGGAGGTCAGACGACGACAGTGACACCACCACACCATTTTCACAATTTGCCTGCTGTGGATGTTTCATTTATGTGGGATCACATGGTATTTGATCTTCTGTGACTGACTCATTGCACTGAACATAATGTTCTCAAGGTCGGCCTGCATCGTGGCGCGTATCAGGACTTCAACAGCACTGACACTCGCTGAGCTAGTTTTTCTCTTTACGACCACCCACCTCCCAGCTCTGTCACAATTACTCACACACAGTAATGAAGATAACTAATAGGAAACATGGATGCCATGCTCCATGCTCTGGGTGTCCTGTCTCGTTTAGGCCTCACGATGAGCTTGGGAGGCCAGAATCTGAGTTTCATTTTATACATCAGGAAACTCGGGCCTACAAGTGTCATATGCTGAAGGTGGCAGAGCCAGTAAACATGAAGCTGACATTGGAACCCAGGGCTCTGCCTCTCATCCTGACTCCCAAGCACCAAACGAAATGCTTTTTGGGGTTAGTATTGTCGGCAGGCCCAGAATGTACATCCACCATTGTTGCCGTTGAGTTGATTCTGACACTCGGGGCCCCGCGTGTGTCAGGGTAGGTCTGTGGTCTGTAGGGTTTCCATGGGCTGATTGTTAGGAAGCAGATCCCCAGGTCTTTCTTCCGAGGCGCCCCTGGGGGGACCTGTCCTGCCAACTTTATGGGAGAAGCTGAGCGCGCCAACACTGGCACCACCCAGAGGCTCCATGTTCCCGCTGACGGAGCCCCCATGCTTCCCCCACTTAACAGTCCCCAGGCTGCCCGAGGAGTGAGCCTGTGTTCGAACACTTCAGACATGGCTTTTCCCTTCTGTCCCGGGACGTGTGGAGTTGGCCCTTGACCTACAGCACCTTCAGCCCCTTGCTCAGCTCACGCCCAGGATGAGGCAGGGCAGACAGTGGACAGTGGTCAGGCTCCACCAGGAAACTCTCTGGTGTGGAGCCCAGCTCTAACCCTTTCCAGTTGTGCAGCCTCAGCCATTCCGTCCTTCAGTAAAATGGGCCACTCCTAGCAACCTCACGGGGCGGGCAGTAAGGTGACATGCGTGGTGTGACAAGGCACTTAGTGCAGAGTAGAAGCCAGCCGGCTGGCCTGCAGGGCAAGCTGGGGATCCAGCCGAGGCTGAGGGGGAGTAAGACCGGGGCTACTCCAAGAGGAAGTCCTGTCCAGACCAGGCACGGATGTCTCCTGGCATGGATGAATCACCCGGCCTTGTCAGCAGGGTCTCACAGGTCATTCCTTCCCAGGCCCTGCCTGTGGAGAGACCAGCCTGTGGTCACAGGCTGCTGAGTGCTCCGTGTCTCAGCTGACATTCCTCCCATTCTGCAACTCCTGTGGCAAGGACCTGAGGAGCAGCGGGTGGCCAGGGAGCTACAGCCAGGAGGACGGTCACTTTCCCTGCTTGTCAGGGGCCCTTCCAGCTCTCACAGGCCAGACAGGTTCCAATCATGTCATTTTGAGTTTGCTGACAGCTTGGGATGCCCAGGAGGGGAGGCACTAATGGGTAGTTTCTGGACTGACTGGTTTTGCCAGAAAACCACTCTACTTTCAACCCGAGGTGCTAAGAGTCTCCTGGCATGGATGAATCACCCAGCCTTGTCAGCAGGGTGTCACAGGTCATTCCTTTCTGGCCCCTGGGAGGGAGGGCTAGGGACTGCCTGCCTGGGGAGAAACCAGCCTGTCGTCACAGCCTGGTGAGTGCCCCATGTCCCAGCTGACATTCCTCCCATTCTGCAAATGAGAGCCTGAGAGGACACAGTGGTTGGAAGTGTGCAAACTTGAGTCAGGCTGCGTGGGTTTGCATGTGTGCCTTTGCCTCCACCCGTACTGTGTATAACTGGGGGGAGTCATCTAACCTCACAGCACATCATTGTCCCATGCATTAAATGGGGCTGAGGACAGGACCCTGCACATAGGGCTTACAGCACTCAGAATAGCACGTGGGGGAAATGAGGGCTCCCGCATGAGGGTTTGGGGGCTGCACCTGTCCTGACCACACTCCCTTCACCTAGTCGCTCTTTTAACCCACGACCATGCTTCCCTGCAATTTGCCTGTTTCGCAAAAAACAGGGAAAACAGTCCAGATTCCTTTGCCTCAGGAACCTTGCAAAAGTCTCAGGATGAGGGGAACAACAGTGGTGTGCGTGTGGCTGTACTTGGTCCCTCATCTACCAGAGGGGCTCCACCTGCAACACCCCGGACACCGGCGGCTCTTGGAGCACCGCAGCCATGGTTTGGCCCAAACTGCTTACCACGCAGAGTCTCCAGCAGGCCACCAGCTCGTCTTCCGTCCCCGCCTTCGCCCCGGGCTGCAGGCCCTCGTCAGCCAGCCTCTGCAGCCTCTTGCGGAACTCTCTGAGCTCTGCCTCCAGCTGCGCGATCTGCCGCTCGCAGGCGCCCTTGGACTTGAGCACCTTCTGCAGTCTCTCCTCTTCCTCCGCGCAGAGCACTCGCAGCTTCTCCAGAACCTTCCGCAGCTCCTCCAGCTCTTCGGTGATCTTCTCCGCACCCAAAGGGGAGGTGTTCCGGATGACCCCCACGGACTGCTCCTCCAGCCTCCTCAAGGACCCCTCGCCCCTGGGAAGCTCTTTGGCGATATCCTGAAGAAGACAGAGGGTTGGTGCCGAAAGACACAGGGTGGGGTTGGGGGGGAATATAAAACATTTGCTCTATCTCCCAGAGCCCCTAATTCCTGTGCATGGGAGGGAAGGGCGCAGGGAAGAGGTAACCATACAGGGAGGAAGTGGGAACAGAGCCGTTACGCTATGGGAATTGCAGTCGGTGTCATGAAACAAAATGTGTATGAACTGCTGTATGGAAAAGGAATTTGCTCTGTACACTTTCACCCAAATCACAATAAAAAGTTTAAATAAATAAACATTAATTCCTAGATTCCTGGATTACAGCACTGGGGACCTTTCTAAGCCTTTCTAAGGGGGGGGGGGCACCTTGCACTGGCTCAGAACAGAAGAACTCTCTTCCCTCCCTAAGTTGTCAGGTCACTCGGTCAGGGCAAGGAGGAAAGTCCCTGCTGGGCGCTTCCCTGTCTTTACCACCCTCTCTGACATGTGTTCATCTCCCTCTTTAACAAAGACAGAGGCAACCTCAGCTCAGAGCCTCCCCTGGAGGAGCAGCTGATGGGCTCGAACCGCCGACCTTCAGCCACCAGCCGAGCTCTCCAGCACAGCGCCACTAGGGCAGAGATTTCCCTGTAGCAGCCGTGGCTGGGACATGTCACTAGAGCCCATGCTTCTCCTCCCTTGGGGCTGGTGTGTCGGAGATATCTGTATCCCCCACAGCACCCGCACTGTTGTGTTACACTGTCGTGTTACAAAGACCATGAAGTAGAACTGGTCACCCACGAATGCCCTCAGAACAGTCCCTGGGACCCCAGAGTGGAGGCCTGGCCTGGGGTTACCTGCAGGGCAGAGAGGCGGTGCTGGGTGGTCAGCTTGCAAGCCCGCCCCAGGCAGCCGTCCACCTTCTCCACCAGCGCCCGCAGCCACAGCTGGAACTCATCCACGCCTGCCTGGTACTGCGCGTGCTCCCGGGTCACCTCCTGCAGCAGGTCCACGCGGTCCTGTGGGAAGAGAAGTCACCGGCTATGAGGGTGCACAGCCTGGGCTGGCCCTGGCCCTCCAGGCCAGGACATCTGCAGCCTGCCAGGGTGTGAGTGAATATGTGAATGTACCTAGGTGTGCATATGTGTGTGTATCTGTGTGTATGTGTGTATCCATGTGCGCCTGTCACTGGGTGAGTGTGTATCTCTGGGTGTGTGTGCCTATGTGCGAATGTCTGAGTGTATCTCAGTGTGTCTGTCTCTGTGTGGTCTGCATCTCTGTGTGTGTCTGTGTATGTGTCTCTCAGTCTAGGTGTGTGTGCCCAGGTGTGTGTCCACCTGTGTGTATATCTGTGTGTTATATGTGTTTGTGAGTGTGTATGTGTCCATATGTGCGCCACTGATCCTCAGCCCTTTTGCTGGCGAAAGACACCCCAGACTCTGTTCCTGGGACTAGCAACACACTGAGACTCCGTTTGAAGCCCAGAGCACATCAGGACTGGGCCCGGACTCAGGCTTTCTCTCCTGCGTGTAAGGCCAGGCATGAGAACTCCCAAGGTGCAGACACTGTGCTATGAACTTCACACAGAGGTTCTCATGACACCCTTCAGATGGCCCAGGAGACCGCCATCACTCCAGGTGACAGGTGAGGAGACCAGCACTGAGAAGTGCAGTTACTTGCCCACCGTCACCCAGCCAGGGCAGCACCAAGATGCAAACGCAAGAGGCGAGCCTGGGCCAAGGGACATTTCCGGCCCCATCACATGACCATGTCTACAGGGTATGCGGATGGGCGGCAGCCCCCACACCCTCATGAACCAGGTCTGTTCACAGTGTGGCTTGCAGGGATCTCTTTCTAGCCAGTCCACCTGGGTTCTAACCACACAAGGGACAAGACTGTCCTGGGGTGACAGACATTTAGGGAGATGACAGTCCATGGTCCTGCTGTGACCCACTGTGTACCTACATCCTCCAGTTTTCAAAACACCCCATCACAGTGCCCCCTCCGTAAGCCCTCCCTGGCTCCCTATGGCTCCCAGGCTCAAGCCCAAGCCCCGCAGCCTGGCTTTTGAGGCCAAGCCCCTCCTGTGGCTTCTGGCACAGCGGTCAAGAGCCTTCACCCAGATGCCCAGCTGCCTGTAGCTCGTCACTAACCTCCCTGTCCCTCAGCCTCCTCATGTCTAGTATGAGGTTAGCAACCGCACCTGCCGTATTGGGTGCAAAACAACCCAGTGCTGTTGGGTTGGTTCCAACTCATAGTGACCCTACAGGACAGAGCAGAACTGCTCCACGGGGCTTCCAAGGCTGCCACATCTTTCTCCCATGGGGCCATGGTGGACTCAAACCACATCCACCTTTTGGTTAGCAGGTGAGCACCTAACCACTGCGCCACCAGGGCTCCTTGTACTGGGGTACAGTGAGGATTAACTGAGTCATGAAACCCCTAGAACAGCACCTTAAGTGCTTAATAAATGTGTTGCTAGATACCAGGGCTGTAAAGTCCCCTTGCTCAAGGTGACCCATGTGTGTCAGAGCAGGGTTTTCTCCAGCAGTGTGTTCCACACGGGTTCAATGCATCCTTTTGGTTGGTGACCGATTGTGTTTATTGTCTCCTGGCCCCACCCTCTCTGTGCTCTTTCACACCCAGTGAGGCTCGGCTCAGTCACGTGCACACATCTCTGCAACCACAGGTCACACAGATGAGATGGCTCGCTGCCCCTCTCCCGCTCTGTCTCCCTCCTGAGAACGCTAAGTAAGCACCAGGCCCATCTTCTCTGAAGCTCTTCCCAGAGCCCCAGGCTGAACTAACAGCCTTCCCTCTATGTTCCCAATGCACCAGACAAGCCCCATCAGAGCCCTTGTCTACTGCATTGTGCCAAGTTTATTCCTAATCAGGAACCTGGAGCTCTCCATGGACCAGGCTGCCCGTGATGCTCCTGTCTCTCTGGGATCTGTGAATGCTCCCTGGATTGTAGAAAGAATAAGCTCTGGTAGCGCAGTGCCTAAGGCACTTGACTGCTGACCAGAAGGCTGGCAGTTCAAACCCACCAGCCACTCCTCGGAAGGAAGATGGGGCAATCTACTTCCATAGTGATACTGCCTCGGCAACCCAAGGAGGGGTCGCTATGAGTTAGATCTGACTTGAGGGCAGTGAGTTTGGCTTAGGATTGCCTGGCTGAGAGTCAGTCCTTAGTACCTGGTGGGCGTTAGTGGTGGTGGTGGTAGTACTACTAGTGCTGTTATTATTATCATCACATACATGTAACTCTTTAGGAGCTCTGGTGGTGTAGTGCCTAAGGCACTTGACTGCTAACCAGAAGCCTGGTGGTTCAAACCCCCAGCCACTCCTCGGAAGGAAGGTTGGGCAACCTACTTCCGTAGTGATACTGCCTCAGAAACCCAAGGAGGGGTCGCTATGAGTTGGGTCCGACTCGACGGCACCTAACAACAATAACAAGCATTAGTGCAACTGGAGGAGAGTCTTCAAGAGGGCCAGGAGAGATGTTCATTTGATTAGCACCTACGATGCACCTCACTGCCATGGAGTCGATTCCAACTCATAGTGACCTCCATTGGGCTTCCAAGGCTGTAAACCTATATGGAAGCAGACTGCCTTTATCTTTCTTCCATAGAGTACCTAGTGGATTTGAACCACTGACCTTTTGGTTAGTAGCCAAGTACCTTAGAAATACACCACCAGAGCTCATTTGAATTGTGGTGCTGGCAAAGGACTGCCAGAAGAATGAACAAATCTGTCCCAGAAGAAGCACAGCTGGAATGGTCCTTGGAAGCAAGAATGGCCAGACTTCATCTCTACCTATTTTGGTCATTTGTCAGAAGGGACCCATCCCTGGAGAAGGATATCAAAATTGGTTAAGTGGAGGGTCAGCGAAAAAGGGGAAGACCCTCAACAAGATGGACTGACACAGTGGCTGCAACGATGGGCTCAACCACAGCGAGGACTGGGAGGTAGTGCAGGAGTGGCAGTGTTTTGTTCTGTTATGCATGGGGTTGCTATGAGTCGGAGCTGACTTGACGGCACCCAACAACAACACTATGTGCCTGGAAAGAGGCCCTGGATGGTGCAAATGGTTAGTGCACTTGGCTGTGACCAGAAAGGTCGGAGGCCCAAGTCCACCAGAAGTGTCTTCAAAGAAAAGGCTGGTGATCCATGGTGATCCATGAAAAATCAGCCATTGATAACCCTATGGAGCCCAGTTTGACTGACACCCGTGGGGTCACCATGAGTTGGAGTCCACTCTACAGCAAGTGGTTTTCCGTGCCCGGAAGCTGGACAAGGACCATCTTACTTAATCTTTCCCAACACTCAGAAAACCATCCCAGTCTGCCAATGCCCCACCAGGAGCCTGGATATCTCATAACTCTCCCAGGGCCTCAAAGTTAGGATTCAGATGGTGAGTGTGGGACTCCAGACTCAACGCTCCAGACCAGCAGTCGTCTGGCTCTTTCTGTCAAGGGCCAGAGAGGAAATGTTTTCAGCTTTGTGGGGCATATAGTCTCTGTCAGAGCTGCTTGGCCCCACCACTAACGTGAGAAGCAGCCACGGACAACACACAAATGAGTGAGTGTGGCTGTGTTCCAAAACCAAAAAAAAAAACAAATTCACTGCCATTGAGTCAGTTCAACTTACAGCGACCCCTCCTTGGGTTTCCAAGGTGGTATTTCTACAGAAGTAGATTCCCAATCTTCCTTCCAAGGAGTGACTGGTGGGTTTGAACCACCAGTCTTCTGGTTAGTAATCAAACACCTTAGGCACTATGCCACCAGAATTCCCATCAGTAAAGTTTTAATTATAGACACTGAACTTTGAATTGTACATAAGTTGCACAAGTCTTGAAATATTCTTTTCATTTCTTTTTCAATTATTTAAAAATTCTTAGCACACTCACTCACTCACTCACTGCCATCGAGTCAGACCCGACTCATAGCGACCCCTCCTTGGGTTTCCAAGGCAGTATCACTATATGGAACTAGATTGCCCAACTTTCCTTCCAAGGAGTGGCTGGTGGGTTTGAACCACCAGCCTTCTAGTTAGCAGTCAAGGCCTTAGGCACTACGCTACCAGAGCTTCCTCTTACAAAATAGTGTTCACAGAAAGAAGACCCCTGGAGACAGGGGAACTGAGATAAGTGGTGGCGCCACCACTCAGTGCCAAAAAAACCAAACTCACTGCCATCAAGTTGATTACTCATAATGACCCCTCCTTGGGTTTCCAAGGCAGTATCACTATATGGAAGTAGATTGCCCAACCTTCCTTCTGAGGAGTAGCTGATTGGTTTGAACCGCCAGCCTTCTGGTTAACAGTCCAAGGCCTTAGGCACTACACCACCAGAGCTCCTTCTTAGCACGTAGGCTGTTCACAAACAGTTGATGGTTGGATTTGGCCCATGAACTATACTTCAATGATCTCTGCTCTTAGCCATGAAGCCAGGCCATGTCCAGGGGATCCTTGAGCATCTAAGAAGCTAAGTCAAAAGTTTCCCACTGGGACTGGTACACCATGCGATCCTCAGCCTAAACAACTATGAGACCAGAAGAACTAGATGGTGCCAGGCTACCACTGGCAACCACTCGGAGGGGGATCTATGTAGAAGATCCTGGATAGAGTGGGAGAACAATGTGGGACAAAACTCAAAATCATGAAAAAAAAAAAAGGGGGACCAGGTTTGCTGGTCTGATAGAGCCTGGTGAAACCCCTGGGACTATGGCCCCTATATACCCTTCAGGTCTGGAATTGAACGCACTCCTGTGGCTTCCAGCCAAACAAAAGACAAGCATATGAACTGAACATTTATATCAGGTAGACACACTCCTTGGAGAGATCAATCATGGGAGAACAAAAGGGCTGTGTGTGCACAGGGAGACAGCTGTGGGGGGGGGGCAGGAGTGCACGGGAGAGAAGAACACAGGGAAGAGGTAACTATGGAGAGGAAGTAGGATGGGAGCTGTTGTATTGTGGGAGATTATGGTCAATGTCATGAAACAAAGTGTATGTGAGC